TCAAGTTTGCTTAGTAAACTTGACCACGTTTCATAGCAGAGATAAGTTACGCGAGCTTCCTAAAAAAGTATTGTAAACTATATAAAAAAATTTTTTATCAATTGTGTAACCGATCTTCAAATTGATGGGACGATCGCTCCTGTTGATGCAAACGGCTCGGCTCGGCTCGGCTCACGGTTTGCATTGACCAAGCCTAGCCAATCTTTCGGCTCCAAAGGCCAGAGCCGATTAAATTCAAGCCAAGCTGAGCCATTACTCTATATAAGGAAACTATTCAATCAGACATGAACACGATCATAATGTGCTTATAAAAATTATTTAACATGTAAAAAGTAAAAAGCTTAGACTCAAATATAAAAGCAATCTATCTCTAACCAATATTAATTATAACGCAAGATTTAAGTATTAAAATAGTTGGCATTAAATTTTAGCGGCATAACCTTTAATTAATATCAAACTTAATCCGATCACCTATTTGCTGACATTTGATATAAGCGAAGTGGTTTTTTTTTTTTTTAGCGAAATATGAGTTAAAGGTCAGTACAACTTATACTAGCGATGTTATTAAACTATTTGGAACGTCCCAAATAGGTTGGGTAACATATACATTATTGCATTATCCAAACAATTAAATAAATCAAAGTAATCATATTACTATTGGATAATGGTCATGTTATATGAATCTATCGGCTCGCGGCTTCATACTCGGCTTCAAGATCTAGAGCCGAGCCATTTTTGAAGCTGATGCTTTATTAGTAGACCTGGAGCCGAGCCGTTAATCGGCTCGGCTTAGCCGTTTGGCTCGCGGCTCAGCTTGAGCTGTTTGCATCACTACGAGTAGATTAGAGGGTCCACCAAAATTCAGCAAATCGGCCCGAATTTGGGTCGGAATATGCTGGAAGTAATAATTTTTTCTAAAATCACAAAATTTTATTAATAAAGTGGCAGCCTATGCACTAAGTAAAGCTGCCCAAATGATAATTTTGCTATAATATAGTCGGCCGGTATTATTGCTTAATGCCACTTTGCTCCGGCCATCTTTGACCCCAAATTCGGGCCGATTTGCTGAATTTTGGTGGACCCACTAATCTATTCCCACCCACCCGGGTCAAAACACTAGAACTTGATATATTTTATCGCGAATATGGTTTTGCAGGGAGAACATGAAAAATATGTCGATTTCTTTTTAAAAATTCTATTAAGCAGCAAGCATGGGATCAACTCAAGAAAGAATTGTGTAAAGAAAACTGGATTGTCTTAAGATACGTTTGGTATTACGAACCCATATGTAGTTATTCCCGAGAATTGGGTCTCATTGAATCGAGTTAAAACTTCAAATATTCATAATGATACAACAAAATAATTTTTTTCATAATACATGCACTTAATTTTTCCGATACATATATGTACATAAAAGCAAGCAAAGTAAATTCGAAGCTTTATTAACTCGCAATTTCAGATACATTATCATTACCTCCAACTATCATGAGCGCTTCACAAACCATATAAAAACATTATAAATCGGTGTATTTTATGTATTCATTGATAGCACAAAGGATCGTACCGTCATATTCTTAAATATATTAATGACTTATCTTTTTCTTTTTTTTCGAGTTTTTGGTCCTTTTTTTTATAGCTAAGAGAAAACAAAAGGAAAAAATATAAGTCGGGACTCCAAATTTCAGCATCAGCCGCGCCAGTAATTTATATATATATATTATCATAAAAAATTTTTTGCATACGCACATTCAGGTAAATCAGGTGGTTCGAGTGATCGCTCGAATTCCTCAACAGTTCCATCATTCAACACAATCCAGTACAAATTACTTTTTCCATCGTTTAATCTTGCCTCTTCCAAAGAATTTCCCATTGGCCATAACATTTGGCTCATATCCTCCCAAAGAAATACGCGGCCATAACAGTCCAAAAAAATCATTCCATAATCGATCTCACCAATAATAATGATGTGACTGAAACCAAATTTTGCAACCCACATCATGTATAATTCAAGTTCTTTTGGGTCTCCACTATCACTAGGAAGTTCGCAACCAATAAAAGATGCAATATTACGACGGTCAGAATCATTTGCATATGTATCAACTACCATACATGTATTGTTGCAAAATGCATCATTTTGTTCATCATATTTTGGCACAAGAGACATGGATCCTTGATCGTCGGTTGTTTCTCCGGTATCCTTGGTAGTGCTAGAGTCCGTGAGTACATAACGACAGGGTTTCGTTTGGATTTCCTGTGTCCACACAGTGCCTCCCAAGGTACCGATTCTGAACAATTTCCCAAAGGATGCCTGCAAATTTTCAATTGTTGTTCGGTTAGGGCAGGACTTAAACTCAGCTGTAATATCAATATGTTCTTCACTCTTGTTTTCGGTATTTGTTTCAAGAATTCCTTCGCCTCCGTTGTCACTGGTCCGAAACGAATTGACACACCGAACATGAACCTCGCAATTTTCCCTTTTCGTTTCGAGTACGTGAGATTTATTGTCCGGGGGCGATATAGTATATTTGGCTCCATCTTCATAATCTTTTCTGCTAAGAGTTTCTGACCCCTTGCAAGATATGCAACTTGACTTTGTATTGTAGATTTCCGGGAGGGTCGATTGACATAGAACGTCTAAAGAAGAGATATTACGTCCCATACTGTTATCATTGGAACCTTCCGATAATAAGGCAGGTTGATTATTCTGCCCTTCGGTCCGAATGGAACCATAATTCTCTCTGATCTATCCAAGAAAAGTGATTTGTTAAATACGTTTGAAAATTTTTTCTGTGCAATAAGCACACCTGTAGGATTCCACAAACTCGGTTATCAGCTCTTTCTGCCATTGTTCTTGTAAGGTACACTCCCCTGACAGTGATCACCGGAATGAAGATCTTTTCTATAATAAAACAGTAAATATTACTAGGTGTTAATGACAATCATTGAAAGTCCGAAGGACTATTATTCATATTAAAAACCATGGCACGTGCCAGGTTATGCATGTTGCCGATCGCACGTTCTTTAAAATTCATTGATGTTAAGTAAACAGAAATATAGTAAAACCTGGCAAAGCCATGTGATTTTCATAGTATAACCAATCAAATTCGAGTATTTGCTAACAGACGGACATCGTGTAACCTTACTGACCCTTTGTCCAAACAGTTTAGTCCTTTGGACAATTAAAATTTTAGTAATAAATAATTTTTTAAATTATATAATTATAAATGGGATTTATTTTATAGTGCTATAGCACTATAGTGCTATGGCACTATAGTGCTATAGTTATATATATAATTTTTTT